CTAAAAATTTCAATGAGTAGATCTTATTGTCAAATAATCAAGAATTGAGCACTCTTTCTCGCACCTTTAACAATATATAATCCTTCCTTAGTCGAAGATCCACTAAGCTTCCCCTTAACAATATTTCTATTGGTGCACGTTGTGTTACAAGTCTGATAGGACTTTACTGATTACTACATATCACAATAATAAGATAATCAGGACTTAATACTTTTATGTTTGGCATCCGAAGATTCATCCACAATATTCCCATATGACAATGCATGCCTTTTAGGAATATACTACATTTTGTTCAACACCAAATGATTCTATCTATACAATTAAGTCTAGGAAATACCTTAGTTAATTATTCTTTGCTCGACAACTACAGTCTGCCTCTACAATATTTTTATAATGATACACTTTCAAACTTGACTCCACCTATATACTTCCAATCAAGATGAACATGGTTGATCTTCTCCGCTTCTAACCAATGCGAAACTACATTTTATATATCCAACGAGACAGACCAAGCACACGAGATGTTTCTGCAACAAAATTTGGAATCAAACCTAGTCAAGGTATGACAAGGGGAATAGCTTGAGTGCTCACACGAAAAACGACCTGCATGAGAGAGGCAAACACTCCAATGCTCAAATCAGTTTAGGCTCAAACTTAATTAATAGGGAGTTCGAGATAGAATTTCATACCTGATATGGAAGTGAAACCCTCTATTTATAGTTTGGAGGTCTAACAGGCAGTTATGTGTGTCAATCCGAAAGTCGGACATGTCGAGTGCTTAAACTCAACTTCGGATGGTGCTCACTCCACTAGGAGGCATTTCTACATAGTTGTGTGACTAAGTATGACACGTTGAACCTGTCTGAGATGGTTCTTAAGTAGAAGCTAGCTATACTCGAGCTTGCTCTGTCCACCACATAACGAGATGATTTTCTACCCCACACGAGATTAAACTTAATTAATTTTAACTAAATGAGGGGGAGAGAGAGAAAGAGAGAGAAAATCTAGTCGGCCACAATATTGTACATGTGTGAGAAAGATATAGAGAGAGATTAAGAGGGAAAGTGAAAGGTAGGCGATGTCGGCCATGGTTGGCTTTATTATCGCTTAGCTGGTCAAATCAAAACCTCAGCTTTGTGGAACTTCAAAAAGTCTCAAAAGATATTGCGGCTGCTCCTCCTCCTTTTTTCCACATCAGAATCTGACACCAACCCCACAATAAACCACAAAACATCCTTTTCCATTTCATTTCTCTTTCACTCTTCCTTTCCATTTCCATGGCCGACCCCTTAAAATTTTTTCTACATAATACATTTCTCTTCCTTTTTGTTCACAATTCTCTTCACAGTTTTTCTTCCATGGACCCCCTTAACCTTCTAAGTCTCGAYAGAAAAGGGAAGAACCTACCGTGGTCCAGGTTCTTCGTCACCGATCATCACTGTTCAAACTAGTCAATCTCAACGACTTATTTGGATGTTATTCTACAAAAAAAGAAAAAGAAAAAGAAAAAGGAAGTATTGTATTGCTCATAACCTAATTTASWACTGATCTAGATGTATTGGACAAATCAAAACATAGATCATAATGCCTCAAACTTATTTTGAACCTAAAATGTTCTCAAATTCGAAGAGTGTGAAACCAGTAAGAAAAAGATTGGGCACTCTGATGACTTGACTAAATTTTAGATCTTAGATTCGCACATACCTCTTGACTGAACCCACGCCTTATATCTTTATAGTCGAGGTCACACAGTTGGTCGCGTAACTACCCACGCAGTCATTATTGAGGATGTCGGAGCACTGTGCGGAACTACGACTTCTGTGGACAGTTATAGGGTGCGACAATTACCTTCAACTTGCTACGACCAAACTTACTCTTCTCTGACCTATGCACTCCCATGCACACGTGTCCGATTAGTCCGCGAGTGGCTAGCTCACACATTGTATGGCCTCGAGAGAGACATGTGACAGTGGCTTTTCCCTCTCAACAAACTGCATAGACATCTTAGGCTCATTAAAATTATATATATGGTACATGATCAGTTTGCTAATTCTATGGATGTGTAGGACCGAAATGATCCAACATATATGATTAAATTAATTGTTTCATATGTCATATACATGCATATGCCAACGAGTCATATAAGTATTAAAGAATTCATGATAAAGTCAAACGTTTGTAGGGCCAAAAATCAAAGGACCACACAATCAATGTGATCTTTTTAAAAAAATAGAATTCTTCGAACCACTTATTAGTTATTACATTTGGATTTGTATGCGTTGTTCGTCATGGTCCACACATATTTTCTACCCAAAAAAAAAACATAAAACTATATATATATAATATTTATTTATTTCTATAAGTTGTCTGGACCAATTTGTGCTCAACTCGAATAATCTCATGAGACAATCGCCTGACCCTACAACATTTGATGATAAGAAACGCTACATAATAATTAATTCCTAGRGTAAATGGACAATCATGGGTTTGAATCAATTTTCTCTCAACTTACCCTTAGCCATTTAGATCAATAAGCAACTATATAAAACTATATTGCAAACTCTTTTCTTTTTAAATTATTGTTGGATAATATAGTTTTTTTAGTATAACATGTGAGGGTGGGAAATTGAACTCACTTGATTAAAAATATATGTCAATCACCATTGAGTTATGCTAGCTTTGACAATAATATAATTCTTAGTATGATAACGTGATATCAACATTTAAATGTTGGTATAGAGACGTTTTGGAAAGCTATTTTAGATAATTGGTGAGTGCGCACTAATACAATATAATACAGCCAACACTTTATGGGCCAATGATGTGCAACACACCCAAAGAAGAAGGGAAAGCCAAATTCTTGTGCAAGTCTATATAGGTTAGCTTTCTCTTCATAGAATCATCATGAATATATAAGAGAGGACAATTATCTCCATTGGTATGAGGCCTTTTGGATGAAACCAAAAGTAAAACCGTGAGAATTTGATGAAATTAAAATTTTGATCGACGAAATCTCTAGTTTGTCTTTATATATTGATCTATTTTTGTTAAGAACAACGGTAGCCCTCGTATCTCCAAAATTGTATGATATTGTCCGCTTTTGGCATAACCCGCACGGCTTTGGTTTTGGTTTCACTCAAAATGCCTCATATTAATATAGATAATTGTCCTATCTTATATACCCATGATTATTCCCCTCCCTAGTCAGCGTGAGACTTTGTTTGCAATCATCTTACAAACTCAACACTATTTGGGCATTTTAAGATACGTAGAAATATTTTATGTTATTTTGGTTTGCTTTTGTTTGATATTTAAAATGTTTGATTTGGACATGTGCATATATAAATCTTTATGTTAAATAATGTCTTTATAAATAAAACATTACTTTTACGCGGTTTGGCCCCCAAATGGAAAAACCAGCGCCTGTTTGTCCCCTGGATACACCACTCGTTAGAGACAGAGAAAGAGCAAATTTTCTAATCTCAGGTGCCTTCAAATTCAAACTTTTGCTTTAAAAGATTGCATTTTTTTCTTATAAAGTGAACTTGAAGTTTCTCTGTGCGTCGTTTTATCCTCATAGAACTTTTTTTGCAGACGGAATCTACATATTTATATGCTTCATCTTTTGTCTTTCAAGAAACAGTTCTAATTACCAATCGAACGAAAATTGAGTTCATGTTTGTTAAGGAATCTGCAAAAGATTAAATTTTCTGTAACCCATTAGTGACAAAGAAAAACAATGTCACCTAAGCTAAAATTAATGTAAACTATTTAACGACTCATCAAATGTCATGTTAGGATTGGTGACATTAACCAAACTTTCACTACAAGGACTTTTTCAAACTACTTTTTGAAAGTCGGGACCGAACTGTCAGTTTTTTAAATTTAGGGACCGATCGAAATTCATTTTTTTTCTTTTACAAACTAATTTGTATATGATAAAATATAGGGTGTAACACACTTTTTGTTGCTAGAGTTTCAAATTAGAGTTGTTTAAGTTTGGATTAGATGTCTCTTTAGTCATTGAAGTTTGAAAATAGATATTTTTAGTATTTGAGATTTGAGAAATAATTCTAAATGATTCGAACTTTTTTTACCACTAATATATAAATAATGTGACCCTTMAATTGTTGATTGTATTTACTGATTTGACAAAATCTATTAATTTAATAATATATTTATGACCAAAACGAGTTTAGCTCAGTGATAATTAGTATATATCTCCAATCTATATATATATATTTGGTGTGTGGTTATGACTTTTTCGAAAAGATTCAAAACTTGCTCTTCATTCCTTCCTCTTCTAGCCATTTGAAAATTCTTTTCAAAATTTTCAGTCATTTGAAAATTTTAAAAATACTTAACCACAATAATTATAAGAAACATATAATTAGTTCTTTTAAAATGTGTTTCATGCATGTCAGTAAGGAAACTAATATATCAGAAGTGCTTTGACCACTCAATAATGCTTTGTAGCATTTTAACTCTCGATTGTTTGAAAAAATCTAAAAACTAATAAAAAGAACTAAAAACTACTTTTAGAAAAAGCATTTAATTACTAATTTTCTTCTAAAAATGCTTCCATAAAAAAAACCATATCAAACACCCACTTTTATCATCTCTCAGACTCATTCTCAAGCTTATAGTTTCGTTGTCACACAAACTTAATTGATCTTTTAATTTTTGAATTGATATATCTTACGTTTTAATTCAAAATATGTACTATAATTAATTGAGTCGTCCTATTTGACAATTAAAATTTAAAAAAAAATGAAATCCAACAATATAATTAGGGTAACACACACTGAATTCTAATCATTAAGAAAAAAAAGAAAAAGAGAAAAAATGCACTCACTCTGACACATCAACTAACCAAATTATTACCGACAACTGCAGCCATAGATTTGGTACATAGAAATCATATTTAAACATAAAAACTTGTCCACCCAATCTCTCTCTCCCATCTCATCAAAATATAGAGAGAGAAAAAAAACAAGACATATCCAAAGAAGATGAATCCTTCTCATCAAAAATTTTCTTCTTACACACACAGAAACTGCAGCTAAATCTAAAGAGTTGCTGTTCCAAAAGAGCTTCTTCAAGTTCTACCTCATCAACACGACAGGGACATTATAAAATGAAGCAAAAAAATTCAATTTTTTGAACTTTCATGATGTCTTGTCGTTTTGATGAGCTAAATTTTCTGAACTCTTGGTAGTTTTTTTCCTTTTTTTTAAACCTTTCTCCATGATGTGATTAAATATGTTCGATCTCATGGAATTCTCTATATTATGGTTAATTGAGTTTTTTCTTTTCTTTCTTTCTTTCCCTAATTGTAGTTCCATAAATTTCCGTCGCCCCCGGAGTTCCAGGAGGAGTAGTAGTCGTGTCGGGGCGGCGACGAGCTTATTCTCGGCGGCGGTAACAGCATTCCCTCCGCCATGTCGTGCAGCAGATTCGGCATTCCAAACAGTGCCTCTTCGTCGACGAATTCCCCGGACAGCAGAGCCGATTGGCTGTGGTAATGGCTTTCTCCAGGATTAACCTTTCGAGAGGCGGCAGCAGCAGCGGCAGCGACACGGATGTCAGCCGGGGAGGAGGAAGCAGGAACCGGGTAGGATCCAATCAAGTCAGGGAAGTTGAGAACAGTATTGCAACCTTTGAGGGCGAGGGCGGCGACGTCGTAGGCGGCAGCAGCCATCTCCGGCGTCGGGTAGGTGCCGAGCCATATGCGCGTAGTCTTACGCGGCTCCCGAATCTCCGACACCCATTTGCCGCTCCGGCAGCGGATTCCCTTGAAGTGATCGTGTTTCTTGGTGGAGCTTGAGGCCATGAGAGAGCGTTTGAAGGTGAAATTGGAGCAGAATTAGAAGAGGGCTAGAAAAAGGCCAAATTCTTTTTATCAAATAATTGGGAGTGGGGCTACATATAAGGATTTTAATTGGGAATTTGGAGAAAATTAAAGAGAGAGAAGAAATGGAAGTGAAGTGAGGAATTAAGGGAAAAAGGGGAGAAAGTGAGAGAATTTATACAGAAGAAAGCAATGGTTAAAGGCGTGGGGAGTTCGTGGGGGAAAAAACCAGTTGGATTAAGGATTAGATGTTTTGTTTAATCAAAGGATTTAAAGGGTTTTGCCTCAAAAACTCAAAAGCAAAAGCAAAAGCAAAAGAAAACGACATATGAATCACTAAAGAGAGAAAGTAAGAGAGAGAGAGAGAAAGCTTCACACGGTTGAGCCAACGCAACTCAAAAACACTGATAAGTGAGTGTGTTTTTGTTATCAAAAACTAGCAATGGATGACCTGTAAGTGTAAACATACCCAACCAAATACCACACATTGCTTCTCATTTCTCAATTCAATTGCTAGCTAACAATTATTTTATTTCCGCACTATTTAATAACTATCTCGTCTCCTTTTATTTCTCGTGATCAATGTCGTGTGGCTCACATTAGTGAATTCTTAACTATGATTGGAGTTCGTTGTCTGGACTGAGCAATACAGTGACCAGCATAGAACTTAAACACAARATCTCATGGTAGTTGATACCAAGGTCTTGTGTCTTTGTCACTATGCAATTTCAAGGGACATTACTATTTCATTTTTAGTTTTCTGTTTTTAAATGTTAAGGTGAGAAATGTTACTGCCACTGACGTGTTTTTTTATTTTGTGTTATATTGTTTTGTAAACATTTTCAAGATCTATAGGCTACATTTTGGAAATTAAAAAAAAAGGTGGTTTCCAAAAATTTATTTCTATTTTTTAAATTTGGTTAAGAATTCAAATGCGTTCTCAGAGCTGATAAGTTTACTAATGAAATTATTAAAAACAAGCATAATTTTTTTAAAATAAAACAGGATGATCAAATGGCCACCTTTGTTTTTTATTCACTGKCGTTTTCTAAAATTAGGCATGTAAATATAGGTCAGTGCTAATTGGCGTTGGGAATTCGATGTCTCATCTTACATGTTATACTGAAAAAAAAGTGATTTTACTAAAAGCATTATTTGGAAGGTTTTAATTTCCTAAATAAATTAAAAAGATCTCATCTAAAATGTTGTTCTTTTTTTTTCTTGTTATTATTTTAAATAATTGTTTTTTCTTTTGTATGTTACATTCTTCTTGCCGACCAATCACAAAACCTAGTACAAAACAACCACGAGGTGGGCTATCTATTCTATTTGCGTAGGAGGGAGAGAGAGACGTACAAGTTTTGTGGAACAAGTTTTAAATTTATGGTTTTTTTTTTTAATTTTTAAAGGATGAGGTCTAATAAAAAGTTACTTTGATTTTTTAAATTTTCTATTTTATTCCTTTTAATAAGTTTTGTACTTTACATAATTAGTTGAATGTTTTCTGCATAAACTTATCTCAACAATTAATTAGGTATTTTGTTCTATCTATAGAGTTGGAGGTTTGATCTAAAAATAATAATAATAAAATAAATAGTTGGATGTTTTTTTTTCTTTGACAAATAGTTGAATGTTAATGTGGCATACCAATTATATATAATAACAACTTATTAATTAGCACACCATATGGCAATGAGTGTAATACAAATACAAAGAAGTAAGTCATTTAGATATAATATAAGATTCTCACTTACTTGCTAAGAATCACAATGAGAATCAAGTAGAACAACAATGTTTTTTCTTTGATGTTGTTTATTAGAACTAATCTGGAATCGRAATCAGAAACTTGTTGAAATTGTTTCTTTTTTTTTTGGAAATTTATGAAAAATTAGAATGGGAATCATACGTATAACAATTACTATAATATCCCCTTGCTAATTACAAATATTTAGTGTGAAAATATTATTTTTAATTAAAATATTTATAATTTATAATTTATTTTTTTATCACTATTTTATTGGAGAGTAATAACTTTTTTATTTAATATTTAAAAATAATCACTAATTAACATAACATTCGTGGTCAATATAAAATTTTGTTAAATTTTATTGTCACAACATTTAGTAATTATTGATAATTTTTTAATTTAGCTTAATAAAAACTAAATAAAATCAAATAATCAAGAAATTAAATAGAATTTTTTAATWTTTTAATAATAAAATCTAATCAAGTCAAAAAGGTTAGTATGTTTTTTTATTAGAAGAATAATTGTTAGTAGAAACTGTAGATCAAATTTAATTCTACATGTTACCTAATAACACTTTTTTATTTTGCTTCAAAAGAAGAAACACTATTTTATCTTAACAAATTAAAGAATAAACAATAAGTAATGATAATTAAATAGTTAACCAATCCAATTGAAATTTATGATTTTGAAAAAAACATCATATGTACTTAAAATAAATAAGTTTTTTTTTATTAGAAGAAGATTTATTAGTATAGTATAAATAAAAAAATAGTACCATTGTAAAACAATTAATAAAATTGTTGTGCAGTCTTGCTAAATGAGAGAGAAAATAGTAAAAGTTATAAAATATTTAGAGAAATAGTAAAAGTTATAAAATATTTATTAAAAATGTGTGGAGCCACATACAACATATTTGAGATATGAAGGTTTGAACCTCCAACCTCAAATAAAGGAATAGATGTCAATTATCGCTAAATTATTGTCATGTTGACATTGAACCAGAAATACATTTTAAAACAAAGTTGTCATTGTATAATTTAAAAAGCTTGCATTTCACTATTTATGTTTCTCGTTCTAAAACTAACACTAAAAATAAATTTGTTATCAAACTGGGTCTCATTTTCATTTCTTATTTCTCGTTTTAAATTTTATTAAGAAATCTAAGCATTTCACTATTTATGTTTCTTGTTTCTCATTTTTTAGAAACGTTCTCAAAATTTGTAGAAGTTTCAGAAACAAAATAAAAATAAGTTTCTTGTATCTTGTTCTTGTTTTTAACTTTTTCCAACATAAATAAAAGTATTTGTTTATCATTATTTGGTCAGCCATATGGGGAACTCTAACCCCAACCTACTTTTTGCACCCTTTATGGCTTCGTCAAACCTTAGACGAGGTTCTTTCTTCCTTGACAGAGCTTCACTGCATGGAAAACTTTGCTTGTCTCGGTAATGAATGTTGCTTGTACGAGGATTTCAACTCTTTCGCGACTCTAATCGATTTGCCTCTACTATAGTCCAAGCCCCACGGCTCAATCTTGCCTCAACAATAGGCCAAGGTCCTCTCGACTCGATGTCGCAACTCAATTCCAACCATCTTGGTTCTCGACCATTCGATCGTCTCACTCCTACACTGAGCTGGGACCTTACTGAGATGAGTTATGACCTTTAACGGGCTTAGAACTAGTTTAAAAACGCTTATGGGTACTAATGGGAGATCCCTACCGCATAACTATATCAAAACTAGCTTATCGAACCCATTGAACGCCTCTAAGACCATTTCTGTCTAGGACCAAGTTAATAATGGGCTAACAGCCTTACCAGGTGCTACTCGGATTATTCCTGCCCAGATCCAGGCAAGGAATGACTAAATTTGGCAACTGAGATGAGTCTTGCCACTTATCAGACCAAGACTAGTTTTTTCTCACTTATCGGGTGCCCACCAGTATATTAGGATGCCACTCCGAGCATCGAGATGTCATCATGCTTGACTGCTCACTCGAACACGCTTATCTAGAATCGACCKTTCATACTTATGATTGAGGCATTCCTAACATCCATCCATCCAAACACTATCGAGGCATAAGGACTCTCACGCTAATGCCATCTCACTTTAGCATACCGTCCCGCATAATGGCCCTATGGTACAACCTCTGACCCGTGGGATGAGGCGTAATGTCAGCATACCTGTGTCGTCCAACACTATCCTTGAGATTCCCATTCTCGAAGGAAAACGCTCAAGATGTACTCTTGCAACGTCGCCCATGCCATGATGCACGCATGTGCAATAGGATAGCTCACTTAGGCCGTAAGGCCTTGGAGTGGTGGAGAGCCAACACCATGTCTCCCCCTATAATAGCATTTTAAGTGCTCTAGAAAGTGTGTACGTGCAAAGTGGTGAGGAGTCACTCGCCAACATAGAGTGCACATCTGAACTTTGGTTGACACAAAACTTGGTGTACTTGCAACTAACTCTAAAGCCGCTCGTCCAAACTCTCGAYAGAGTATCATTTTTTAGGTAAGGGTGTTCAAAAAAACTGAAAACCTGAAGAATCTAAGTAACAACCCGACCCAAACCGTAAGGGTTAGGTTGGGTTAAATGAAGACTTGGTTTGAGTTCCGTTGTTATTTTTTCGAACCGAGTGGGTCTGTTCTGATTGCGGGTTCGAGTATAAAAAAGCTGGGTCAACCCAATCTGACCCGAACCAACATTAAGTTATATATATATATATATTTCTT